GCTTGACAATGAAATATACGTTTATGTAAATGTCGATTAATACGAAGAATTATAACAAGTATTGTTCGATATGTTTTATCGTCGTTTTCAATTGTAATATTTTTTTCAATACGATAATCAATATCAAATGGAAAATAAAGAATAGCAGCTGGTAAAGCTCGTGAAACAACACATGTAAGACGTATTAATTGATTTTCATGTATTTGAATATGTCCATTATTTAATATTATTGAATGTTGTAAAAGATTAGAATCAGTTTGATTTAATTTATGATCAGTCGTTGAATCATATGATGTTATCAATTGAGTACCAAGTTCAACAGTTGTTAGATGAACTAGAAATGATTTAACAATAATTTTTTTATAGTGCTATGAATAATGAAAAAGTGAGAGAGTATCATTTTGTCTCTAATTGTGTACGTTTTCTTTTTTTCTATATTACAATAACATACGCAACAAGTAATAGGAGAATAATGAAACAATTTTAGGGAACGGAAATATAGAACTATGATCTATGTATTGAATAGAAAAAAGAAAGCGAGAAAAGAATAATAGAGGTACTATTCATTGACTAATACATTAAGTAATAAAAAAAATGAAATGAGTAAAATGGTCAATAGTAGACATGAAGAGGAGAGAAGAAAACAAAGGATGTCTGATTTTATAGAATCAGACATTAGCAATAATTGTAAGGTTGCAAAAATCATTTTTGACCAACTATGATTATCTCATGAGACATATATATATAATAATCTCTCGTTTAAAATATTCATAGGGCAAAGATGTTGTCAAAATAAATTTGAACAATGATCCAATTCTTAGACTCAAATGAGCTATGAAGCGAAAGAGAACAGACATGCAAATCAATGTAGAAAGAAAAAACTGATTCTAATACAATCTCATTTAACGATCTAATAATAACCATATATATATCTATTATTTTTCTCGTAAACGTAATATTGATTCAATGAATTCAATCATATATACACACTCTCGAATCTATTGAGAAACACTTGACGTAATATTACTGTCTTTCTCTCTCTCGATGTGCTATCGATCATTTAGAGCGTGTATAGATGTTAAAGAAAAGAATCGGAAATTATTTCGGAAAAGTGTATAACACGCATCCTTCCCATTCCATCACTATTATATGAATATAGATTGCCATAGTTGCCTAACACTTACTAGTATCTTAATGCCAGATGTAGTCTGAGAGTATTATATCAATCGTTCATATAATATGAATATAGATTCTTTATACGCACGCACAATGGATATAGAATAACACATATTTAAAAATTACATTCAAGAAAAATCAAAGTTATACATGTTTAAAACACTAACATAGATAAAAACTGTATGATATTATGATTAAAATTGTCTAGCTATGATATCAAAATTTTGGATTTTGTTCAAGATCGGATTAGTAAACTATTTGAATTTACCTAATACAAGATTATCTGATAAATATGTTAAGTATTCTATTCACCGGTACAAAGAAATGAAAAACAAACTTTTAGATTCTGATATAGACTTGATCGACATTAATAGAACTTCAAACTAGAATACAAATGAAACTATGAAGTAGTCAATTAAGATTCTGTTGTTAGAACGAACAACATCTTCGTTGAATTTCTTGACAAGAATAATTATATTAGACATAAAAAGCACTTTTTATCTGACATATTGATCAAAAAGTAACAAAATCATCTGTCCGGATGTCAAACTAACGTATTTATTTGATTATTAGTTGTTATAGAAAATAAAAGAATATATATATATACATACAAAAACTTCTATTTCAAAACAAATAATGATAATATTTATCTCCGGGTTCAGTTAAGAGTCTTTTTATCGAAATAAATATGAATGTAAAAGACTCTTGGCTGCATCCTTAGATGATAATAAGAAAATTTCATCGAACGAACTATATCATATTTTTCTTCTTTGAAAAAATAAATAATTCGATTTTATATTTAGATGAATTCTAATCAAAAGAAACCGATGGCTACATTTTCTAGTTATCTATGAATTGGTATTACGAGTATGTCATATCAAACGTACCTATTACAGTTAAATTAAACTGTTGAATAGATCCAAGTGTTTCACATTCATAGACTCCTGAATCATTTGATTGAAGTTGACGAATATATAACGTTTGTGATTGAACATTGTTGTTATTTTGTTCAAATGACATTTTGGAACGAAATTTTGGTAATATAATTCCATATCTTGTTGCTAATAAATTTGGTCTTTTCCACCAAGCAACATCATTTAATACACATACAAGATTAACATCTTCATATTCTGTACGATAAATAATTTCAAAACGATTATTATCTTCATTATTACTATTAATCATAATTATTTTATAAGAAAATAAAATAAAAAATAAAATAAACAACTGATTAGAATCAATTGTATACATGTGACGACAATGATATAAACATAGTCGTCTTTCTGCTAACAGAAATAATTATCTGAAAATAAAGAATAATCTTTCTTTTTCATCTATAAGAAGTAAAGGTTACAAACAAAAGAGTAAAAATGTCGTCTGGTTTATCGCTTAGTGAATGATGAGGTCATCATGTATATATATATACAAGATTGAATGTCAATTTAAAGTTAATATAACTTTTTTCTTCTTCTCTTGATAACCGAAAGTTTCATCTGACAAACCTGTATACTTGACTTTTATTAAAAAAAGGGAATGAATGAACATAGTTCATTATTTCTTATAAAGTAAGAACAATAGGAATTGTTGAGTAAATAAACGTGTTAGAGCGAGACAATGAAAGATACAGACATTTTATCTCTTAACATTATAAGATCACAGTTAGACAGAAATATCAGTCGTCTTTCTTTCGTAATGTTTTATAAGTTAAGACTATTATATTTGGTTGTCGAACAAAAATAATCACCTCTGATGCGTAAAACAATTTTTATCGGTTGTCCACTCATTTTTATTCTTTATATATATATACTCTAACCGATTAATCGAATGACTTACTAATTCCCTTTAGTACTTTATCTTGTTGTCTCTCGCGGCTATAAACTTACTATTGTTGTCAACTTTTATTATAGAATGATGTATTCTTCACTGTTTTTTTTTCTTTTGAGTTCTTGTATAAACAAATCGATCTCTCTCTCTCTCTTCTCATCTTATCATATAAAGTAACTGATGATGTCTGTTCAGGATCATCGACACTATCCTAATCATCAATGTGTCAGATTGTATGCAAAAATAGATAAAAAGGTGAATAATAATAATAATAATAAATCGACAACAGAAGAGAGAGAAAGAGAGAGAGGGAAGCAGTAATGCTAATCCTAGACCGATCGTTTGTTCGTCTGCTCATCGATAACAATAGTCAGATAAATCATTGTTATTATGGGTGAGAATGAACAAATTGAGACTTGTCTTGTATGCATGAAAATAATTATCGCTATGCATATACACATACTTGTATCATACAGAATATATTAAACAGGAAATATTCATTTAATTATATTTAGATCTCATCATAGGTTTTTTTGCGTCTCAATCGAAATTGATAATTATTTTATTTCTTTAAAATGAAATTTATGATCGATATCACTCACCTGTGAAACGAAAAAAACAATTATATCAAACAGAATACCAATTGATTGAAGTACAAATAGTTTGATCAATGTGAACACTCTAGAGATTTTCTTTCTTTCTTTCTTTCTTTTTTTTTGTTCTCATACTCTCTCGTCCTTTTTCCAAAGGGAATAAATCATTGTGAGACAATAGCCGATGATCTGAATGAGCACGTTCATAGGAACTAGTCATTGGTTAAGGATAAAATAAAATAAAATAAAAAAAAACGGACGAGAAGAGAGGAAAGCAAATAAGCAATAGAATAAATGAGGTCATCTTCAGACAGGTGCTTGACAAGCAGACAAAAGACAACGCGAAAAAGAGTTTTCCGGAAAATAGTTAATCGATTTACCTCATAAATGATCATTTCTCTTTTTTTTCTCCCTGATCAATATAGACAAATTTAATTTTGTATTCATACGTACTTTAGTAGTACTTATACTGTAAATGAAACGTTGAGTATTCTCTCTCTCTCTCATTGACTTTTCTATCTAGATTCAAAAGAAAAAAATCTTAATTTTTTGTTCCTCTGCCGACCAATGCTCTCTTCTTTTTTTCTAATTGTTCAATAAACTAATCGGAAACATGTCGCTAAGGCGTATGCACATGTTTCTCTTCTATTGGTACATCTCTCAATATGTTCATGTATCGGAATTAACTTACTAATTGTCTATCTATGTTAGTTAAATAAACGATTTTTTTCTACTTCTTCTAACAAGTACCTATTCATTGTTGATTTACATTGAAAAATTGAACACTGTATGTTGAACAAACAGGTCGTTAAGCGAGAGAGAGAGAGAGTCGCGTGCTTGTTAATAAAGACAAATGACATGCAAAAAATAAACACGTCCGTCTGTCTATCATTAGTATCTTAGAAAAATGAACAATTAAAGAAAAGATTAAGATATTTTTGACTGTATTTCAAGTATCGATAAAAAAAACTTTCAAAAAAAAGAAAACCTCGTCTTGTTAACCTTGACATAGAATGCTTCACTCACTTGTCTTCATCGCATCATCATCATCATCATCATGATTATTATTACATGAATTTGCTCGAGCGTCGAACAGGTTTCTAGAGAGAAGGCAAGAGAGAGAGAGAAGAAAAAAATCTCTGATTACATTATTATTTTCCTTGATTCTTTTTTTTTTCTTTTCACAATCGAGATCCATTTCATATCTGAATCACATCATATACACCTAACATTCTTCATTGGGTTTCCGATTAAAAATTAACCCTATGTGTTCTTTTTTGCTCGTTCATGTAGTACATATAGTGTAAACGCTACAACATATAGAGTTAATTATACAGACAGTTTTTTTTCTCATCATTATCATTATCATCATCGTCGTCGTCGTACATGTAAACGAGAAGGAAAAAGAAAAAAAAATGATTACTTCTGTAATGAAAAAGACTGATGAGTCGTTTGTTTTGACTATAGAATACAAGTAATGATCAATATACAATTAATTGAAATGAGTTATACAATTCAATGAAAGTGGCTGGAGGTTATAAAAATTAATTGATAATGATGCCATGAAAATTGGGAATTGATTATATTTTATTCTATCAAGTATCCTTAAGATAGTACAAGGGGGCAAGGATTCATAAGAATAGGTAACATATTATAATAAAGCTAAAACCTTATTAAAATCAAAGAAATAATTGCTTTTATATATAAATGAATAAGAAGAAGAATATTATTGTTTATTCATAGCTTATTGTTTGACCATAAAATTATAACGAATAGTTAATAGTGATAGTGATTTATTAGACAAGAAGAAATGTTGAACTATCGTTTTTGTTCATGGTTGCTTTTTAAAAAAGCTTGTGCTCTCTCAATAACATCTGTATCTAAATATTGAAATGAAGAAGATCAAAGCGTAACATGAAGGAAAAGTGAACTGAATATATTTATAAATAAAAAGAAAGACATAAAAAATGATGACGCAATATTAATGAACTTGCCATGTCTCATGAGATCTTTATCAAACAAAATTTCCGTGTTTGATTAAAGACAAGTAGAAAAATCATCATTAGATCAAAAGGAAAAAGTATTTTATAGTCCAAATTTCAATGCCATCTAATCAGATACAGTTTCCTGATTTCTTCTTCTTCTTCTCAATAGTTATAATTATGAAACATTTAAATAAAATTCGTTGATATATGTATATAAAATCAAATAGATGAAAAGAAGAAAAATTTTTTTTGTTAATATTGAACAATCTTTTTGATTAATTTATATTCTTCACACCTTGAACTACGTTAGTGATTGTGATATCTTATGATGTACTTGACCTTTAGTATACATTGATTTGTTGATTAACGTAAGTTATGCATAGACAAGATAGAGTATCAATTAAAGGCAATTATTGAACTAGACAGTCTAATAGGCGTAGGAACAATAATGAAAGTGTGGACGTCGAAAGTCAATAAGACCATGTTTCGCTTGATAATGAATCGAAAGGACATTGTCTCTGTATTTCCTTGAAAATTTGTCGTCTGTGTAGTTATCATAAATGATAATAGAATATTAAGGAAAAAAAAGGTGGTGACGCCTGTCGCACCAAGACAGTCAGCTGATGTAAAAAGAGGAACAGCAATCAAAATTTCCTTTTTTTTTGTGTATATATTCATAGATATCATAATGCTCGTTTATGAACGAAGAAGGAAAGAAAGGACGAAGAGAGAGAGAGAATGAAAGTTTGAAGAAGAACCGTTACCAAAATATTTGGTACAAGATAGGGTGGAGATGGACAAAAATGTCCTTGTTTCTCGTGGTTTGCTTGACTGATTTTTATGACAGTATTTAAAATGACAACGAAATGATATTCATTCTTGTACTTCTTACAAGATAGTCAATTGTTCGTGTTAGAATGGCGGATGAGATATTTGATCAAGCAGGTACTGTTGTTTGGCTTTTATTTTTAACGTTATGTATATAAAATAAATATTCTTTTTTCTTCTTCATCTACTTTTCATAGACCTTAATAAAGATCAGCGACTTGATTTGAATGAATTTCGCAATCTTATTAGTCAAAATCTAGGACCTGGTGCATCGATTTATACTGGAAATGTAATTGATGGAGGTCAATATTCAGGAGGTTTTTATGATTCTTCATCATCGGGAGGTTTTATGGATGGAAATGGTACTGCTGGAGGATATACTGGTATTACTGATGGCTATACTGGTGTTGCTGATCTAGCAGGAGCAACTATGAACGGCGTAGGTACTATGGACAGTAATGCCAGTTTTAATGCATTCGATCAAGCATCTTTTGCATCATCAACGGGTGGTGCTGGTGGAATGGGAGGATATGATGCCGATGGACCTTCTGTTGCTGATAGAACAGCTGGAACTACAGGAGATTCATCATCATCATCATTTGAAGCCGGCAATAGTCAGCAACAGGTTCAACAATATGCTACTAATGCTCAAGGTCTTTATCAAGATCCCAATCCACAAATTATACGTCGTCCAGCACAAAGTGAACAAATTACATATACACAAAATATTAAAATTCGATTTCTTCAACCGCCAGCGATTCCACCACCAGGTGTAAGTTTACTTTTCATATACATATAACTTTCCATATATATACATATTGTTAATTTTAGCCGCTGATCATTAAAGAAGTGCGACCACCTCAACCACCACCACCGCCACCACTTGTTGTTCGTCAGCGTGCTCCACCTCGTCCAACACCACCTCCACTTATTTTACGTGAAAAACCTCCTCCAATACCACAAAATACTGGTGCTCAAACTGGTAAAATAAAAATAAAATATATTCCTCTTGTTATATTTATCTATCGAATTTTAATTCTAGTTATTCGAAAACTACCTGCTCTTCCACTTCCACCTCGATCAGTCATTATAGAACGTTTACCACCAACTCCACCAAAACCTCGTAAGATATTGTATTCATTTAGAAAATTTTCTTTTTTATTTTAATTCATTTTTATCAGGGGATATTATTATTGAACGATGGATTCCGTATAACGCATTGGCAAATCGTAAGACAATTGTTCAACGTGCTGAAGAAGCAAAATCGTATCCAAAACCACGTAATGTTATCATTCAATATGAAGCACCACAGGTTCGTGTTGTTCGACAATTTCAACGTCTTGGTGTTACACCTGAAAATCCTCAAGAATATATTAATCGTTATGGTACATCACTATTCGATTCACAAACATTAGTACAACAAGCACGTGCTGCTGGTGTTATTGAGGATATAGTAATATAGAACAATATTAAATGTTTTGTAAAACTTCTATTGAATTTTTGTTTTTTTCTAGTCACCACCAACAAATCTTGGTGGACCTGGATCTACTCCACCAACATTTACTAATGAATTTGGTAATATGAGTCAAGGTGCTGAAACTAGTGGAGTTGGTTCACCATCAACATTTGAAACATCAGGCTATGGTGGTCAACAAGGAAATAGTGATTTTTCAGGTTTTGAAACAGGTCAAAATGGTACTGGTGGAGGTTTTGCAACACAATTTGAAACAAGTACATTTTCATCTCAAGGTGGTGGTACTATTCATGGTGACACGAGTGCATCTGGCTATCAAAGCTATAGTGGCTCAAGTGCCAGTAATATTGATATAGCTAATGCTGCGTTTAACGCTGCTGATCTCAATAAAGATGGATTAATTGATCCAAATGAATTTCGTCAATTTCTCGGCTCTCAACTTCAATAAGTATATATTATTTATTTATTTTTTCTTCATATACTATATCAATTGATGTTTATTTTTCTTCTAGATAATTTATTTTTCTCTTAATATAAGTATTGCTTCATTTGATTAGTTTAAAGAGAAAGAGAGAGAAAAACAATTTTTTTATGTTCCAATAAGACCCTTGTTATAAGAACAAGGACAATAATTTTTTTTT